GAGTAGAGCGCGATGTTGTAGCGTTAATAAACGGAACAATCTAACAAAATTGCTTGTCAAAATACCAATATCACAGAACAATGTGAATGTATGTCTTACTGTTTTTAGTGGCCCGAGCGGGCAAGTGGAATGTACGTTATGCTGGCCCGGGGTGTCTAAATAGTGCCTCCGGGCCAGCGGGCCAATTATAATGTCGAGCCCTGCATGTCCAACCATGAGCTCTATAAGCCCTTCCAATCCGGCTTCAGGCAGCAACACAGCACTGAGACTGCCCTCATCAAGATCACCAACAATCTCCTCATTGCTGCTGACTCTGGCCGCCTCAGCATCCTCATCCTCCTGGACCTCTCTGCAGCGTTTAACACCATCTCTCACAACATCCTCCTCACCCGCCTCTCAGACCTCCTAGGTATCACTGGCACAGCGCTGTCTTGGTTCACATCCTAGCTCCATAACAGGAAACAGTTTGTCTCCATCAACGGCTCAAATACACCCCCGGCCCCAGTCCACCACGGTGTACCCCAGGGCTCTGTGCTTGGCCCCGTCCTGTTCACCATTTACATGCTCCCCCTCGGCCAGATCATCCGACATCATGGACTCAATTTCCACTGTTACGCTGATGATACCCAACTGTATCTCAGCACCACTCCATCCTCCCAGCTCCCCCCTCAGTCTCTCATCAACTGCCTGCATGACATCAAAGCATGGTTGTCATGCAACTATCTCAAACTAAACAGCAGGAAAACAGAGCTCATGGTTGTGGCACCCAAGGCGCTGCTCCAGAAGGTTGGTGACTTCATCCTCGAGGTTGACGGCTGCTCCATCTCCCCATCTCCTGAAGCCCGCAACCTGGGTGTCATCCTCGACTCCACCTTCTCCTTCCACTCCCACGTCAAGTCTGTGACCAAATCGGCCTTTTTCCATCTAAGGAACATTGCAAGACTCCGACCGTCACTCTCGGAGTCGGTTGCCGAAACCCTAGTCCATGCGTTTGTCACCTCCCGCTTGGACTACTGCAATGGTCTCCTGTTTGGGGTTCCCAACAAAACCCTAGGCTCCAGTATGTCCAAAACTGTGCTGCTAGAGCAGTGGTTCTCAAACTTTTTTAAATAATGTACCCCCTTTGAAAAAAATATTCCGCCAAGTACCCCCTGATCAGCGCAAACACAATTTGTTAGGGACAAAATGCCTATATAAAGAGGTACAATACAGCCTTGCACCATCAGTGTCTGATTTATTAAAACAACAACATTGTAACTGAGAAAAACTTAAATGGTACATTTCAAATGTTTACAATCCATCACTAAATTCATGGAAAACCAATTTTAACATCATGAAATAACACTAAGACGACATTAGTTGCATTGAACTGATCTTTTGAATAAGTTGTACTTACAATGTAGTGAGAAACATGGGCTTGTGCTTCACTGAAGAACTTTGTCATTCTCAGTGACAGGGAGGCAAACTGCAGTTATTACACTTCGCGTTTTGAAATATATGTGGCCTAGGCTAACTCTGTTCATATAAAACCCACACTGCTCAAACTTCGTTACTTTTCCTAAAATTGGTATATTTATTTATTTTGGGGCGTGGGGAATGAAGAGAAAAAAAGATATGAGCATTTTATGAGCATGGGATTTTGACCCCTCATATAAACATATGCATAATGCTGCGCTATACTTTGCGGCCACACGCCGTTGCCAAGCAATGCTTATTGTTTAGGTCCTTTGATAAGCAGGCAGTCATATCATTAGCTAGAATAGCTAGATCTGATAGATTTGGACAAAAACGCGAGTGAAGTATAACCGGACGCGAGAGAGAGAGATCGGAGAGCAGATCAGCTGCTGCTGACGGAGAACACGCAGCTCTGCATGATCACAGCTCCGCCGCTGTGACGGACCGGTGAGCGGACCAAAATACACTAAGAGTTAGACCTAACACACTTAGCTAGTAAATCTACTCTGGAACAAGCTAAACTAGTTATAAATATATTTATTCTTTACTGTCGGGTCACTTATTACAGGTTCAGCGAGCTGCACGAGAGGAAAAGAGAGCACCCCGTTTATTTTTCCCATTTTATTATCCAGAATTACTGTAAACCTTTAAATAAAGTAGTTAATCTACTATTAGTAGTTTGTTTAAATGCATTAATTATGTTTAGTTTTTTTCATTAACATAAAACAAGTCTCACGTACCCCCTGCAGTACTTCAACGTACCCCTAGGGGTCCGCCTACCCCCATTTGAGAACCACTGCGCTAGGGTACTCACAAATACAAAGCCGTGGCAGCACATCACTCCCACCCTCATCCACCTCCACTAGTTGCCGGTCAAGTCCCGCATATCATTCAAAATCCTCCTCCTTACAAGTCCCTCCATGCCCATACACCCCAGTACCTATCGGACATCCTTCACCCACATGCCCCTCCCCGGAACCTGCCGTCTTCAGACTCTGGCCTGCTAACGACCCCCTGCACCAAACTGCAAACTTTCTGGGACAGAGCCTTCAGTGTGGCAGCCCCCACCCTCTGGAACGCTCTCCCTGCGGAGATCCGCAACATCCCCACGCTTGACGCCTTCAAAAGGGCCCTCAAGACCCATCTGTTCACTAAGGCCTTTGGCCCCTAATATATTTGTTGTTTTGTCTGTCTGACTGGTTGTCTGACTGCCTTTTGTTTTGTTATGTTTGTTTTGCCCTGTTCTTCCTTCTAAAGCGACCTTGGGTCTCATGAAAGGCGCTATATAAATCCAAGCTATTATTATTATTAAACTGTCAAAGTAAGGAAATTACTTTTATAGTAAATATTAGTGTTATTAAATAACACATTGTTCCACAGTCTGGGAAAAATGTTTACCTGTTGATGGTCAGCATGTACCATGAGTGTAGCGAAACATGTGTTACCGCTTATTAACCCTTTATAAATGATGCCTTATTAGAAAGTGTTACCCTCTCTTGATAAATGAGGCTCTGTTTTAGAAGGAAATCATCTAATCAAACAATTATTTTTGATTTGGAGGATACAAATCATAGGTCAGAGACAAACGTATGTCTTAGACACGATGAGCCCGTTAAGTTGATTGTTCACTCTGCTCTCTGATGTCAGCCAGCCTAAGTGACAGACTCATAATTTGATGTTAGCAGAGGTCACCGGGCAATACTTAATTTCAGACATTTTATTTCAAGGCATGTCATGTTTTATCAGCAGTGGGATTTGAATGTCTCACTAAGAAAATGTTAGTTTATACCCTCATAAGCTTTTTTTGTGGCACCACACAGACAATTGCTTTATTGTTGATTACCAAAATAGCTAAATCAATACAGCTCCATAATTATGTGTTTTTCTTTATTATTTAAATGAATCGTTGGAGCTTTATCGGAATAAAAGAGATTCATAAAATGCTAATCTAACAAACACAGGTCAAGTCTTGCATATCAAAAGTAATTACTGAACTTGTATGTATTAAAGCGATTGTATGAACTCATAATACTTCCTCAAGAGCTCAAAGAAAAGCTGCAGACAGGGCATCGGGTAAGAAAGGAAGAGGCGTCCTTCATTCCTTAAATATTGGTATTTTATCTTCCCCTGAAAGAAAAGCCTAAAGGTCTATATTATAATCACTTCAGCACAATCTCACCACAATGCTAACTGGCTCGTTCCTGAGTGAAAAAAAGCCCTAATCCCAACATTCAAAAACACAGCTGAAGCCTTGAGCCTTTTAACGTTTGTCAGTAAAGCTCTTTAATATGCCTCTTCAGCTCGACAAACCTTCCTCTGAGGGAAATTACCGGTAATACCAGAGTTGTGCAGAATGATTATCCACATCCTCTTTTTCTCATTACTGCCTTATCAGGAGAGAACAGTTCTCTGAGGCTGAAGAGCAGTCGTAGAAAGAAAGCTCGGTCTGTATGGGTGGCTTTGAGGATGTAATCTATGACAAAGTGACAGTTTGCCCTGGTACAAAACTCATATTAGACCCTAAGGATATCTAGAGCATTGTGACTTTAGTAATCCATCATTACCTCTTCATCATAATCACATGCAACCAAGACAGTTGAGCAGTTAAGTACCGTATGGCGAAGCAAGATGGGAAAGATAGGGAGAGGATTTACTGCAGCTGCTGTGTTTTGCAGAGAGTGGGATTAGAAAAACCTGAGTGAAAGATTAATATTTATGCTGCACACTCAGCAACACACAGTTGTTATCACTCTCAAATTCATGAAAGCCAATTTGTATACAGAACTGTAGCTGTTGATAATCTGAAACTAACAAATTGACACACACACTATTGTGTGTTTAAACATGAATTGGTATAAGTATGCTTTGCAACACTAACAAGACTACCCACTGCTAATAGATTTTGGCCCAGTTCTGACTCTCCACACCATCACTCCAAACATGTTTTGGTGCTGCAAGTCAGATCTTCAGCATGGTTTCACATCCTTACACACATGTCTGATCATTACTCCCACCACCATCATCATCATCATCATCACCACTGTTTTTCTCTAAGTTTTGCACTGTATCTGCAAAAAATGTATGTCAAATATTGGTTAAGTCTGCTACACATGGCTAGATATCTTCCACTAGTACAGAGAGAGAGAGAGAGAGAGAGAGAGAGAGAGAGAGAGAGAGACGCAGAGACCGAGACGAGAATGAGAGAGAGAGAGAGAGGTAGAGAGAGAGAGGTAGAGAGAGAGAGAGAGAGAGAGAGAAGAGGAGAGGAGGATAGGAGAGGAGAGAAGAGGAGAGGAGAGAGGAGAGGAGAGGAGAGGAGAGGAGAGGAGAGGAGAGGAGAGGAGAGGAGAGGAGAGGAGAGGAGAGAGGAGAGGAGAGGAGAAGAGAGAGAGAGAGAGAGAGAATTCTAATGTGTTGTGTTGCAGAGGAAGATTAAACTTTGGTTTGAGAAACAGCATAATGGACATAATACAACTCAAATGTATGTGACAGCATTCTTGCCATTCAAACTCACACAGAAGAGACAGACAATGGATGTCACAAACCATTTTTTGCATGTTAGCTGCCATGGGGTTGACCCGGCTGCGCAGTCTATTGTGTTGGGCAACAATCTTTGAGTGTTCCTTCACCCCGAGCCCTGCAAGGAAGCACAAACGCTCATTTAGCAATGATGCCTTTACTGATGTCGCCATGGCAATGGAATGCAAATGTATTGGTGTGTGTGTATGTGTGTGTGGTGTGTGTGTGTGTGTGTGGTGTGTGTGTGTGTGTGTGTGTGTGTGTGTGTGTGTGTGTGTGTGTGTGTGTGGTGTGTGTGTGTGTGTGTGTGTGTGTGTGTGTGTGTGTGTGTGAGCATGGGTTAATACAGTTTGTCACAGCTTCAGTCACAATTGAACTCAAGGGTCAGTTGGGTTTAGACAAAACTTTAAATCAAAACTTTTTTGCATTTTTACTTTACATTACTTATGACTTAACATTTCTTCAATAAATGAGTTTCATACTGCGTATAAATCGGTTGAAGTGTTATTCAAACCTTGAGATCTTGGGGTCCATGCACAATAAAGCCTATGCTATTTAATTGAGCCCAATATTTTTAAATCATTCATGTAGAGGCAGATTATGGAATAATAACATTTAGGAATAGGCAGTGATCTTCTTTGATCAAACTTACTGTTAAAGGTTACTTATTACCCCTTAGCACTTCTTCCAAAAGTTAAAGAGTAGAGATTTGGCTCCCCAGTGATAGGTTAATCATTTTGCCTTGGGTTTGGCAAAATGCCTTCAAAATGGTAATTTGTTCAACTGATGCCAAACTCCTGTAGCACAGCAGGCAGTGACAGAAAATTGGAGCTGCTGGTGCTTTGCCAGATGGATTGAGACAGCTTAGAAAACCCACTGAGTCTACAGCTTAAAGGATTGCCACCTGATGGCAAACATTAAACAAACACTTAAAACATGCTTTGCTATCAGTTAAAATAGACTTACATCAAGGGAAAACTATTTAGACATGGTTTAAACTTTAATTAACTAAGTAGATGTACTCAAGTACTGTACTAAAGTACAATTATGAGGTACTTGTACTTTACTTGAGTATACCAATTAGTTTGCTACTTTGTACGTCAGTCACACTACAATTCAGAAGTACATTGTTTACTTTTACTCCACTACAATTATTGACTATGTTTAGTTACTTTGCAGATTTGGATTAATAATGTAAAATATAAACAACACTTAAATAAGACTTTAGTTCTGGATTAAAATTCACAAGCTACCCTGCAGTATACAAAGTTATCAAAACTATAGCTGCACTTTTACCAGCTTTGATAACACTTTAATGCATCAATAATTATGATCAAAACATATATTATTTAGAAATAGGCCAATCTGCATAATGAGTACTTTTACTTTTGGCAGCCTACTTTAAGTATATTTTGATGCCAAATAGGCCTACTTTTACTTGAGTCACATTTTGATTGCTGGACTTTTACTTGTAACATAGCTACTATTCCTACTCTCTGGCACTTCTACTTTTACTTAAGTACAAGATCTGAGAATTTTGTCCACGTTTGCATTTAAGTCAACATGTTACGTGCTAGCTCATCCTGCACTACGAGGTCTACTGTCTATAGTAGGCTACGGTCCCTCGTGGCCACCTGCCTCACGCACAGCTAAAGTGTGTTTACCGGTGATGGTGGGCTTCAGGGGCTCCGGTGTGTCTGTGATAATCCGGTTCGCGAAGATAAACTGTGGCAGGAGAGACAACGCGACCAACAGATCCAAACCCCGGGACGCGGTTCCACACCGCATTGTGAACTCCTGAAGTATCTCCGACTAAAGTGACCCCTCGGCCCTTGGTTTTATCCTCCCTCCGCTCCTCTCCTCCCTCTTTTCACCTAATCACCCCGGGCTGCAGCGGTGAGCACAATGTATCATCCTAGAAGCAGACTCACAGTACAGCGTAATTAACCTTTTAACGTTTCATTAAATCATTATCCCTCTTCGGGAAAACAAATCCATACTTAATTGCCTTTAACAATGGAACATTAACGCAAATTATCGCTGCACGTGTTGCAGTGCCTGTGTGCAAACATGATGCACGAGGAGGAACAATGAATCATAAACATTATAATGGAGGGTAGGCTATTTCCTGACAACACCACAACATATTATACCATATAGATGTAGGCCTATTTATTATGCTTTTCATAACACATTTAGACGCTTGTTAAGAGAGCTAATTTCGTAATTGTTTTAATTACGATGTGATATCGCTTACATCACATAATACGGTCATGGCATACACCTTAAGTTTGTCTTTCATTTAAAATGTTGATTAGCTATTAAAGAGTTACATTTAAGACATCATATGATTTAGTAAAATTATTATCACTGATTCATTTAGGCAACTTTGTATCTAGAGTTTTATGACAATATGCAAAATAAATTACTCAAAACCACTATAATAGTATGGTTTTGAGATACTAATAGTGTATTTCTACATTGAAAAGTAAATACTATCCACCACAAAAATCATGTGTGAAAAGTGCCAGTCAGTCATTGATGACAAAATGCATTGCTTAATCATCTCTGTCATCATTTCCTAAACTAAATAACAAAAGCGAGCTTAACTCTTGTTCAATAGTGTTTATGATTGTTAAAAGAGGGGAGGTTTGTTTTGAGAGACCAATGTCCATCATCAATGAATCACTTCCAACGCTTTATTTCTATACTATGTACTGACTGAGGTGCAGGATTTCTTCTTTTAATCCAAGCAGAGTCTGTGATATTTATTTTAAGAGGGAATTGAGCATGATGGCAGAAATGTAATTGTATGTAATGATAAGATAGTTGTGAGAGGTACAGGATAGAGCTCCCGGCCATCTGTTTAAACCTGGTGACAATGTTTTTTTATGCATCCAGTGTGGAAAGTATGAATCATGCTTTGCACACTGATGATTCAGAGTCTGGAGATGACTGCAGAGCGACACAATGGACTCCCACTCGTCTCTCTCCCTTGTGGGCTCAATGTATTTCAGTCCCCTGGCTGCCCAGATTTTTCTTATCTCCTTGATTTTGCTGCATCAGTAAAGTACTGTCCGACCCTACTGAGCCAAACAACAGCTTTGCACACAGACTGTTCTGGGCTCAGTCTGACTCGGCCACCCACTGAGATGATTTCTCAGGTGAACACTGTAAGCTTCCTCACTGCTTCAGCCTGAGCCTCCACATTACTATCTGAACTGCAGCAGTGTCTGCTGAATGCACTCAGGACAGAAGTCCATCTACACACTAAATTATTTCTCTACAGCAGCAATACTTCAGTTTCAAACTCACTCATATTTACCATTCAATTTAAATGAACTGGTTTTCCAAAAAGGCGGTGTTGTCTGTCTAAAAATCGATGTGATTGCAGTTCCTTTGTACCCTGTAGGAAATGAGATGCTGATGATTTAGACATCTTGCAGAATGAAACTTGAAAAGTTATTTTGAAGCCATATCATATTTACTTTGTGGTATTGTGAGTCCAAACAGATGGGCCTTGACTACCTGATAAATATTTCTCAATTGCAACTTCACAGTATTCTATAAAAAGTAGTAGAAATTGTATTACATATGCACACAAAAGAGTTGCAACAAGCAAAAAGCAGCTGGGTATTATTTTATTCATATAGTGGTGGAATGTGGTAGATTTAATAAGGTATTGTTGATTTTTACAGGTTTATATCTCCAGTGTAAGCATCCTTCAGTAATAATATATAAATGGAAAATAAATATTTAGTACCTGTCATCTTCACATATCATTTGTATTCCCTGACTTCTATAGTAATATCTGCCCTGATCATAATCATTTGGACATGTCAGGTATGTGGACCCTTACATTTATAACCTCAGAAGCATGTGTCTTATTTTGTTCAGCCAAGCTCATAAACAGTATAGGGATGCATGCATTAAGATATTCCTGTAGAGGGCACAGCTTAGCTTCTCTACATGTCAACATAGTGTTGATTAAAGGTCGCAAAAACAGCATTCATATTTCAAATTGAGCTGACAGATCCTTTTCAGATTAGTTAGATGATAAATTGTATTTAAACAGATAGAACTTGGTCAGAAAATGTTTCTACAATATTTGTATATTTTGTCTATCTGCTAAATGTAATCTAATGTTTACAAAAAAACTATTGCTGTAAACAGGCAAATAATAACATCACAAAATATAAAAAAATCATAATTATCAAATCACACATGATCCAGAGCTTTGTTTGTTGAGCTCTGTTTTCTTCCACTTCTCTATAAACAAGATATTAACTAAGCTGCCCTGACTGGAGAGGAAGTGCGCACCAAGTTAAGTAAAAGGATAAAATGTGGTCGCATAATTCTTAAAGACTCTTTTCCCTGATTGGCTCCTGAAGAGTAAACTCAACATTCCTCAGTGGTTTTCTAGAGCAGCTTTTTCAACTGCTCACTCTGGTCATTCTCTGACCTGGAGTCCCTGCACGCACTCAGAGTTCACAGCACTGCAACTTCTTCCACATGTGAGGACTGATCGTCGACTGTGAGTTGGATTGGGATCAGTGGAATCATGATTGCTCCGATTGTCATCACCTTGCTGTGTTTCTGCTCGCTGCACCCTACTTTTGGACAGGTGAGTGATTCAATGTCTCAGGCTAATGCAGTGGAGCTATATCTAAGGATATTATTTCAGTTAAATACATTTAAAGCCTCACCAATTGCTGACAGAAGACACAAATGACAGATATGAGTAACCTTGCAACAAGTCCTTCTGTGAATTTAACTGCTTGGCTTCATTACATCTTTTGAGAGATCACACCTTGGGTCGCTTTCATATTGTATGCAAGCCTCAGGAACAATTTAATTAATATACTGTATTTAGCGTTCCTGTTAAATGTTTCCATAAAGCAACATCTGCCTGTGAATGACTGCTTTTAGGTCGTTTCATGCATGTCTGTGTCTGTGCATGTGTGTTGCTGAGAGATGGCCAGCATGTTGAAGAATATGGGATGGTTAGGTATGACTTTATGTGTAAGGTAGTCAAGTTGTTACACATTCAACTGAAAGGGCACATAACCCCTCCAAATGCATCTTTCAATGTTATTTAAAGTTTAAAAAAATGTGTGTATCTGCTATGTGATTCATATTACATTACATTACATGTCACTTGTTAGACGCTTTTATCCAAAGCGACTTACATACTCAATACTGTGGGCAATCCCCACAGGAGCAATTTGGGGTAAGTGTCTTGCATCATGCTGACTGCAGTATCCGCTCTGAATGTAACTTTGCTCCCTTCCACTAAGTTTCATGAAGATCTGGGCGGTATTTTTTTCAGTAATGCTGCTGATATACAGACAAACAAACAGAACCAAAAGCATTAAAGTTGATCATTTGGTTATATTTAATAGTCCTACTGTCATCTTGCGCTCCAGTGCCTCATACACAATGTTACCAAGTTAACATGAAGCCATGTGAAATGCCGCTGAGCACAGGCAGAAAGAGGCCTTTGACAACTACGCTATAAACACCAGCCTCCCCTCCCGGCTGACTGAAGCCTAGCCAAACCCCAGTTCTGTCCAAATCAGAAAGGTGTTTTCAACAAATATTGACCCTTCTTACATAACCCTGGCTGGACGCAAACACTAATTGGTTGTCTAAAAACATGCGTAAGAGGGCAGGGCAGAGGGCGTAGAATGACGCAGTTGAAGAGGACAAACAAGTCTGTGCCACTCCCTCGCCCCAGCAACCAATAGAAAGAGAGGTTGTAACACAGGTGATGTGTATGCTGAGGGCGTTTATACCCGACTGACTGACCACGAACCCTGAAACCACCTAAATGACATATGGAAGTTACATAGGTTTATGTAATGACGATTTTAAACATCAAAGCGGCATCACACCTAAAAACCACATCACAATTTTAAGAGAGTGTTTCTGTTTTTATAACTGAGTTACAGTATCTAGCTTTGAGAGGAGGAGGTTCCTGCTTGCAAATGCTTACAGTGGCCAAACATGCTCTGATCCTGCCGCGTTTAATCGCTCGTATAACAGCCCAGCCTCTGTCGGCCTCTGCACAGCAGGCCTTCAAGGGACTCCTTCAGCAGAATTTCATTTGTTTACATGCAGTGTGGAGCTGCTTATTTTGGAGCATAACCTTTTTTTCAAGGAGTGCTTTTAATTAACCTCAGGTATTCATAGGAGTTGAAGGTGATGCCCATTCAGTATTTGTCACTATGCAGACATAAACAACCAGGCAGTGTAATTGATGTGATGTGACCATGTTGCTGAATCATTTAAATCATAAAAAAGTGCAAAGAAATAAATTGCCACATAATTGAGTGTGATTCAGATTGTGTGACAGCTTTTTGAAAGTCTGAACAATCAAAACAATCAAGATAGTTTTGTTGTTAAAATCTATTACATAATTTTGAGTCTTGAATGGGAAGAACATACATCAATTAAATCACTGGCTTGTAGTCCCGCATCTTTTATGTCGAAAGATTTATTTGTAACTAATGTGAGGAGTAGCTCTTATTTATTCATCAATTCAGTAAAACCGCAGGCAATAACCTCCTAAAAACAAAAATCGAAATCGTATCAGATAAAACCCATTGAATGAAATTATACATAGAATTACAGTATGTGTTAATACTTTACATTTTATATTTCATACTCTAACATCGATTGGTCTTGTGAGGTAATTCACAGCTTTGAAGAAGTTGTTGCAAAAGATAATCAGCACTTTATTACATTAGTCATCCTCTCTGTTTTTTTCCAGGACTGCCCTGGTAGACAGGAATTA